AAGTAAATCCCTGCCACAACGTTTGAGGGAGCTCTTGCCACATTTTAAGCACTGCTCACTTTGCAACGCAGCCCAAGCAGTTTTGTAGGCACAGAATCAGATTTGAGAGCTTAATCCTGGCCATGCCTGCCCTTGAATCTGAGTCTGTGCTCTCAGGTTTCTCCACTGGGGTTTGTGTGAAAGACTGTCCACGCCAAAAGTTCTGAAAGTGCACAAGACAAGTTGAGTGCTCTTCAGTTTTCACATCAGATTTTGAGAGCCTGCAGGCACCGATTTGTATGAGCAGAAACACATTTGAGAGCAAGGGAGGACAGAATCGTCCTTCACTCTTAAAGATTCTGCTCTTACAAATCTGTTACCGTGCTCTCAAATTCTGATTTGCAAACTGAAGAGCCCTTGCAACGTATTTTTTTGTATTTCAAAAACTTTTGGTGTTGACACACTTTCAGTCAAACCCCAGTGGAGAAATCTGAGAGCACAGACTCGGAAATTAGCGCACACGTAGCCAGGATTAAGCTTGCAAATTTGATTCTGTGCTTATGAAACTGCCTGCACACTCTCGAATACTGTGTTGCAAAGTAAGTAGCAATCAAAATGTGGTTAGATTGCCTTCAAACATTGTAGTGGGGATTTACTTCCATACAAATGGCAGATTGCCTGTCTATCACATGCCTGACGCATAAAGGACAGACAAACACTTGTCTGCAGGCAATGTAGTTACCGGTTAACAACTTACATTTCTGTGGACTGTCAGAGGAAGCCGGAGTCCAGAGGAAACCCAGAGGGAGAACATGCAAATTCTGCACAGAAAGGTCCTGGTTGGGATTTGAACCTGGAACCTTCTTGCTGTTAGATGACAGTGCTAACCACTGTAGCACCTTGTCACCACCAAATTCTAAGTTTAAAGCCCCACTAGCTAACTTTCACCCTCAATCTCTCAACCACTGGAATTAAAACTGCTGTGTTATGTCTGACATAAACAAACAGTGTGGCCTGGACGCAGACTGAGCAACATTACTTGCTAATCCAGGAAACCGAGCTGGTTTCCACTATCTGGACAACAACACGCAGTGCAATCATTTGGAATGACTGGAAATTATAACCAGAAAAATTCAATACAAAAGGTACAAAATTGAAAGGCAGACGTTAGCCTGCTACTTATGCGTCTAGAAGGAAGACGGCCACATCTGCAACAAATTTTAGTCCTTTGGATGCTTTTAGTGCTCTCCATCTCCCACCTGCCAAATGTTACCCCTGGTTTTGCCTCATTTATCATTGCACTCTATAGGAGTTGAAACATATTGCGCCAGGTAACCCTGGGTGGGGTGGGGGTTTAGTACAGCAGGGAGAAAACATTTCTAGATGAATTTTACTTGATTTATCCAAATTTGTGCTAAATCCTAGTTAATGCAGCTTTAAAGTCAGAAGCCTGAGAGAACAAGTCAGAACAAATTTTTACAATGGCCCTAATCCTCTTCAATACACATTTAAAAAAAAATTAAGAGCCATTATTGTTTTGCTAATGACCAAATATTAGCTAGGTTAGCATATTCGAATATTTCCCACTTATATACTGAATACTACTAATTAATACTAACTTAAAAACACACATATTTCACTATGTTTGTGCATGTATTTTTAACACAAGGTCACACCTACATTCCCTAGCTAATAAACTGCTAGTTTGAAACATTACACCCTAAATAAATACCTCTTGCAACTCAGTACTGGTCTCTGGATAGAGATGCAGGTTAGACTTTCAACTTTGCTCATTTAGTAGATGACTTTCCACTGATTAGAGAGATTTTGCTTCCATTTAATTTAAAGTTTCCCTTTCTGTATCCCCCATATCAACAGGTGGCTACTACCTTACAACTATATACGCCTCTCTTTACTACATCAGCAGCTTTCAGCCACGACTGCCTGCTCGTCAGCTCAGCGTGGAAGCCCAACACTCCCTTAACCAGTGGCATCGTAGGCGCACACTGCACTGCGAACAATCTCGTCGCAGCAAGCATCGAAGAACTATTCGCAGGCAGGCATGTCAGGAAAGGGGCTCACAAAACTCTGAGACAAAGACTGGAAGTGCAGAGGAAAGTGGGGAAGCAAATGATTCTGTTGATATTGATGAGTCACAGCAGCAGATGGAAAGCATCAGAGAGGCTCTTTAACTGCTGATGGAAGAGTCAGAGAGAGGACAAGGAGCTGAAAATCAATCACAGACATCTACGCCAGCATCAGTGTCACCAGCAAGATGTAATAAGGAGTAAACAAGAAAACCAAGCCTTTATGTACAGCAGGAACCCAAGAGGCTTGCAACTGAGTGAAGAGGAAGAAGGGACTCGATGGAAAAACCGCAACCTGCTGACCACACATTTAGAGAAGGACAGATTGTCTGTGGGTTAAACTCACCCTAAAGTTGCCACATAAACTCTTAACTTCCTGTCCTTCCTGTCCTGCCAAAGAAAGCTTTGGATTAGTGTCAACATTATTTAAAGTCAGTTAATTAGGAACATTGCTGGATTCAATCACAAGATGATAAAATTATATTTTTAAATGAATAAGTGTCACATTTTAGCTTTTCCATACAAAATACTGGGCACTTTTTAACCTCAAGGTCTAGAAACCTTTCAAATAAAAATTCAGGGAAGAAGAAAAAAAAATTACTCATCTATGATGAGGCCATAATTTATGACAAGGGGTCACAATATACACTGCTCCTCTTTAACAGGTCATGTGCCAAAATTACATTTTATATGGTGAAACTCGAATTTTAATTTTCATATGCTGATTATTTAATGTAATTTTAAATGTGTAAATATATTTTGACAATAATGAGCAAAGAGAATAAAGTAATAGAAATAAAAAATCTGTTTTCAGCATCCGTTTGTGTGTCTCATTCTTATCTCAGAAGCTTGTTTAGCTGGCAGCTAAGAAGCCAGACATTCTCAGAGAAAAAAGCTAAAGATACCTGATCATTGATCAGAGCAGGAACTTGAGTCCAGGTAAAAAACTAATGCTCTATCTCTGCAATGGAAGTAGGCAACAGGTTCCTATGGAGTTAGCTGCAACACCTTCATCATACCGTAGCTATTTTACCGTAGCTCTTTTTTGTTTGTTGTACATCCCCAAAGGTTTCACCCAAGTGGTCAAAATGTAAAATAAAATCAATCAAAGCAACTTTATCTTCACCGTAATGGCCTTACCTGCCAGCGGCCCTGGTGTAAAACAGCCTTTGTGTTTCTGGTCTTCAGACAGAATTTCCCATGCAGAGTAAAACTAATGCTGTTGAAACACAAAGCAAAATGGATCAAGAACTTTACAAAGATACAATATATCACCACCTTAATCTCCAAACACAAATTTCTGGTTTCCCTGTGGTCCACTAGAGGGCAGCATTAAACCTCTGAACTGGTGAAGCTCCTGCCAGTTTTTTTTTTTTTTTTTTGAGCCTGCAGAAAATAGTACACGTTATAGTTTTAAATGAGAGAATACAGTAACTGTACTTGGGAATATATTAAACAAAATAAGATATGCATATGTGCATGTAGCAACTCCTGTACAGGTGCAGAACTGTTTCATATACAAGATACTGTACATTCTCTCCCTCTCTCACACACACACACACACACACACACACACAGTTTATGTTTCGTAGTCCATGGGGACTTTACATTGACTTTCCTGTAGACTAACCCTAACCTTAACCAGAACCACTACTTGCCTAACCCTAACCTTGACCCTAACCTTAACCTAAACCTAACCTCATCCTAAACCCTAAACCATGTTGCCACCCTAAAAATTCAATTTCTGGCCCATGGGGACCTCAATTTAGGTCCCCACCGTGAAATGGGTCCTCATGAGTTGGTATGGAGTCAGGAAGAAGTCCCCACATAGCAGGAAAAACACGTCCACACACACACACACACGAGCATTAAAAATATCACCCTTATCATACTTTGCAACGACAGTTGAAATTGAAGCATTTACGGAAGTTAAAGCTTCTGCATTCTGTGGGTTTAATCATTACAAGAAGGTGAAATGGCAGGTTCAGTAGCTGAAGTACCAAAAGAAGTAAAGCGTTACACATAGTACTGTACACAGACGACCTGCTGTGAAAAGTAGAAATGGCGACAAACTAGACTTGGGAGTTGAAGGTGAAGCATCGGGGGAGTTGAAGAGCCACTGATAGGACAGCTGAAGTGTCAAGAATTAAATGAGCGGCTAGAAATGTAGCTTTTAAAGGATTTGCATCGATAGTTGGAGTTAAAGCAATTGGAGTAGCTGAAGTAGCAGGTAAAGCTGAAGGTTAAGTGCACGTAAAAGGGGCATAACTAGCAGCCCAAGTTAAAAGACTTACTGTAAGAGATCAATGTATGAAATACTTCACTTCCCACCTCCTTTTAAACAAAATATGACATTGTATCTTGTTGAATTGTTTGCCATTTTATATAGGCATTTATTTAAAAATCTTGTGTCAGTTTAGGCTGAAGGATGCAAGTAGCTTAAGTGACAAAGTGGAATCACTGAAAAGATATGAAGAAACAGTTTAAAACAAAGGAAACAGTGGAAAGTAGCGACAGTAGCTGGAGTTGAAAGTGGTAAAGTAAAGTTTACATGCTTCAAGCCGTCACAGTGACAGTTCAAAGTGTAGCAGTAAATCAAAGTAAATCAGCCTGTAAATCAACTGTTACCACAGAGTTAATGAATGCACATACACCGGGCAGGTACACATGTAAATAGTTATACAGGGGGCCTCTTATGTAAATGTATACACATATGGAGCCATCACGTCCCTGTGTTTTCAATGGACGAGCCAATCAAATTTGTCTAAGACGACATCTGGCATTCTGCCTGCATGTGGATGTCAAGTCCAAAAACAGCTGGGCCTGCACGCACACGCACACACACACACACACTTTATCAGTGCTGCTTTATTAGTGCATTAAATCACACATTGTAACACACACACACTCACACACACACAGGTCTTTACACACTTCTATATTATGCATACATGTCTGTGTATAATGCACTCACCACAGCCATAAATTAGATATGTGGCAGATTGTGCGTGTGGGCGGGTAGGTGGGTGAAAGCGAGACATGGGGGGCGGGGGCACAGATGGCCGTGGCCTGAGGCTTTTTGCAGTACTGCAGCTAAACATGGAGACAACAAACACAGTACAAAAATTCCGCTGTACTATTTCCTCAGTGTCCAAATCGGAAATAACTAAAAATTGAGCACTTACAATTTATAACCAAGTCAATAAACTAATAAACACGAAAATATTCAGATTTTTGCAAAAGACCTGAGAGAGGTAGAAATCTATTTTTGATGATGCTTACATTGTTCTAGTCTACTCAGCAATATCTGTAAAAAGTAGCTCCACTTGGACCAACAGTAAAATTCTATTTCTACATAATGTAACTAATAATCCAGTAATATTTATACTTCAGTAGTTTCTCCTCCACTGCTCATCGTATGTTATTTCTTGCCAGTTCCAAAGGTAAAGCACATTAATTTCTTGTAAAATAATTGTGCAAAACGCTCCACTTTGATGATTACTATTAGTACAACATACTATTAGTATTCAGAATGGAAATGAAACCAGGCAGTCTAAACACTTAGATTTCAAAATTATCAGCAAAATGTTAATTTGCAATAAGAATAGCATTACAGCAGCAAAAGGGCGTCTAATGCTGTATATTTATTATGATTATAGTCAATTTATATAAAACCCTCCAAAGAAATAAGATGTTAATCATAGTCATTACTTGCTTGTTAATGAACTTCATTATTGGAGCTTTTTTTTTTTCTAGTTATGCAGAAAAGTTCTAATTATTAAAACAATGTGATGATAAAATAACAAAATTACACTGTAATTTGCATGTCAAAATAAACTCTGTTTTGTTTTGCAATATTCTTCTGTCTGGTTTTATTAATGGTCAGACATTAACACTACACCTAAAATGCTCTAAAGATGCTTTGCACTACTTCACTTTCAGCCCAGTAATCCTCTTAAATTGGTGTGTATAAAGTTTGAGTGCATCTTTACTACCCTGCCCTGCCTTGTCCTCATCCGTCATCTGTCCCCCGTAAGACATATACGTGCCTTTGTCCTTACTGTGGCCTTTCAGGGGCTGTCACCCTCCAACAGCTTGACTCTGTCACAGCTCACTCACACATCCACAATAAAACTTTCTCCTTTTCTCTTTCTCTTTATAACCCTCCTGGTGCTTTTTCATTCCCCCTCATTCAGTTCCTCTCTGCTCTTCCTCTTTTCCCCCGCTGCATTCCTCAATTCCTTTCTAGCTCTCCCCCTCTCTCTCTCCCACATGCCTGACAGGTGTGTAATTGAATGATTAATGACCACCAGAGTAACCCCCCACCCCTCTCACACACACACACACACACTTTGTTAAAATGGAATGGTACATATTTATGCACACATATATTCATGCACTGACACACATGGGCATGCACATTTTTGCATTACACACATGTTCATTTTACTTCAATTGCCAAAATGGTCAAACTCAAACCAGTTGGAGTCTTGAAATGATGGAAACATTATAAGGAGTGTAGCAATATACTCGATATATATGAAGACCTCATGCGCACAAGGGCCAACGCTGTAGCAGTGCCGCAACGGAGCTCATTTTAAATGACAATCAACTGTTGTCGCTTCATAAAACAGTTTGAATTGTACACATTTCCAACAAGAATGTTTTATATGCATCATTCATTTTCTTAAAAAAAAAATAAAAAATTCACCCAAAACGCGACACCTCTGATTTGTGAAGTTGTAAGGCTAAATCATCTACGGCACTACCACACACTCCACATTCCCTTCTAACAGTACACAAACACTGAAACAGAATACACATAAATACATCCAAGCACTTTCCATTTGTCAACATAAAGGCAGACTTCATGCAGCATAATTCCCACCGTCTAATGGACTTTGTGTTGGTGAGGGAAAAGGTTGGCAATCCATCTAAGACGTAATAAGATGAGGCTATGGCTATGAATTATATTGTGAGTGAGGGCTATAGACTGATGTATGAATAAACTATGTGTTGTTGATTTTTCTGCTTAGATCGCTCCCTGCATGTGATAGTGCAGGCTCATTGTTTTCAAAAACACTGCACTGCTGTGAAGGTCAAATATTACTTTTGTGTCCGCTGTAAGAAATTCAGATTAGGGGTATTATTGCATAAAAGCAAATATCACAATAAGTGCACACCTATAGACACTAACCTGAGACTAAATAAGTTCATCACAAAACAATCAACTCTAGAAAAATTCTAGGCACACCTCACAAACACAAGTCCAGCAAGACCCAGCATCTTTCTGCCTTCCTGTCTGTCCTCAAGGAGCCGGTCATTAATAAGTTTAAAAGCTAGGGAGACAAATGAAGCTTTATAACAACAGTGTTTACACAATGGGACCCAGTAACTCCTCCCAGAATTCATTAGATCCTGCTCAGCATTCAACACAAGAGAAGGGTCAGATAGGAGACTGCTCAGAAATGCCTTTTGGGGGTGAGGGGTGTGGGCGCTCCCATAATCTTCTCTGCCTCCTTAACCAGACTAAAGAGTTGAGCATTAAGCTTTAGCAGCTCGTAATACCAAAATGTAAACGACACTCTAAACACAATATTCCTGCACAAATACTCTGAATCTCTGAAGGACATGGATGCACTGTGGGATTCTAGCACAGACACTTTAGATACGAGTGTGCCAGCTAAGTTCACTATCAGTGTGGACCTCATGACCATGTATGTCAATGGAACTATGATCTCCGACTGATCTGGAGTCTAGAAACACCATTTCTTCCATTGTAAAGTAGAAAGGATCCTTATAACACCAGCCCAAGAACCTGTCCACTTCAGCCTTTAGCTGCTAATGCTGGAATTACTTGTGCGTAAACTCAGCACCATCTGAGTATTCCACTATGAATTATTTAGAATGGGAGCTGACAAGATCTTCTGTGGACAGAGTGAATGAGACGTGAAGTGCATCCTTGGGGAGCCCCTGAATGCTGAAATAATTTCCACTTGTTGTGGCCTGATGAAAAAGAATAATACGTGATCAAAAAAGAGATTCAACATCAACTAAGCAAAACATGTGTCTGAGTAGTGTTAGAATCGGAAATAAAATCAATACAAATCAGTCTGACATTATGGCAGACTTTAAGTGCTTCAGAACAAGGTGCAGGATTGGAGAAATTGGATCATTTGTGCTGGGATGTCTTATAAGCAAATTAGTACTGATCTAGAGCCAGCTCCTCCGCCCTGTGTAGTTCCTTTGTCATGATCCTATTTATCTGCATTTCTGCTACACTCTCTCTTTTTTGGTCCAAAAAAAAAAATAAAAAATTCTGTTTTAGATGTCAGAATATTGATCTAAAGCCACAAACTGTACTTAACACAGCATGAATTATGGACCATGTGTGAACACGTGTCTAACCTGGGGAATTAGTGTTTGTTTTATCAAGTCACGACAAATAAAAGTGAAAACTGACTCATCTTGTGCGACAAAGAGCTCACGTTCCAAACGTCAGAGCTCACACTGATGTAGAAGCAGCTTAGACTGGAACAAAAGCTGTTTCGCTACTTTACATGACAGTGTTGTGAAAAAAAAAAAAGACAGCCAGGCAAACAAGTGTGTGGGGAGGTGAAAGAGTAAAAGTGAGGGGCCAGTCCTGACTACAAGGGTGAGCAGCGAGAGTGTGGAGGGACAAAGAGAAGGGAAAAGTGGAGAGGTGCTGAGGTCAGGACCTGGGTGCCATTGAGAACAGCCATTTCCTGTTGACCCCTGTTTGAACTCTGGCCCCCGAGCCCTCGCCTGCTTCAGGACTAATGGGGGAAGGGTGATTGAGCCAGTGGGGATATTATGAATGGACGCAGAGCAGTAAAGAGGTGAGGGTTGTCTACAGGACGTGTACATCAGGAGCTGCGAGGGGAAAGTTTACACTTGTTGACATGTTACCCTTAATTTTAGTGATAAGTATGTGATATGATGACTGGGGGGGGGGGAATCTATATGAGCCACACCGAGCTCTGGTCTGTGCAATAAACATTAAAAAAAAAAAAACAACATCAGACTTTTTTCTCAGTGATAATCCAGCCAGTGTGACGGATTACTGCGGCTGCAGCCTGCGGCCTCCATCTGAGTTAAACAAATAGTTGGAGGAGGAGACGGACTGATGTGACTTATGACTGAAAAAAAGGAAGAAGATTACACTATTTGTCAAGAAAAGGTCACGTGACATTGAGTGGCTGTGATGGTGGTTAATTATAAGTGTCTGATCATCTCATTTTAAAAATTCCCGAATTGTCCGGGTTAGTGTAAATCAAGAAGACAGTCAGTTTTAATCATTTCTGCTTACTTTGACTATGTCTGGGGGTCTGCAGGTGAGCATAGGGAAATTGCTTAAAATGAGGTTTAAGGCTACAAACTGTACATGTTTGAAGTTTCTGGTTCTGTAGTTAGGTGTCCCATTGTCATACTACACACTAATAGTATACAGGTCTACAATACACAGTACTAGACATTGCAGAGCAATTTGATCATTTCTAAGAGCTCATAAACTTTAACAGATCTTTAGTGACATGGGATGGAGCTCTAGATTATAGGTTCTCCAGACATCCATGTATAAGCTCAAAATCAACTGCACATAACAGTAGTGAAACTGAAGTGGTTCAGCCTTAATTTGTCTAGATTGCTTACAGTACTTTTTAACTATACTTACAACTTTTTATCCAAAGATAAAAATGTGCTCCTCACTTCAGAACAAAGCATGTTTATCTCAGGAGGACAGAGGAACCATTATACACTCGACCATACTGCCTATGTGTGACCTTTGAGATATGCAACTCGTTCTACATTAAAACTACTTGATACAGTTTATCACCATGCCCTGTGTTTTAGTACACATTACACATAACTATCGTACTCACCATTTAATTGTTTTATATGGAAAAGAAAGCCTGGCCCTCACTAGCAGAGAAGTAGTCTGTCACTTTTATTTATAAATGGTTTTGTAACAAAGCTCAGTACATCACATTTCTTCTCAAACTTAAAACTACTTTTCATGACACAATAAATAGCGTTTAGTTTTTTTCATGGTGTTTTTTTTAACAATTATTGTACAGCAAATTAATGTACTATGCCTTTTTGTACTGGCAGAAAAAATACTGAATGAACAAGTTAGAAGTCACCAATTAAAAATAGCTTTTATCTAATATTTAATACATTTACAAGATGTTTTTGTCTCACAAAAAAAGCTGTCCTGCACAATCAAAATTCAAGTAAATGCATCAGCTATACACTGACTTGTTTGAATATATTGAATTTAGTTAATAAAAAAAACTGCTAAAATATGCAGCTAGTACAGAAATGGGGCGCAAAGACTGACCTGTATTTTCAGTTTTTTACTGCAGTTCCATATCATTTTATCAAATCTGATTCTGCTCTGAAGCCGAACTAAACCCCGGTGAATCTGTCTAAAAAGTGCTAATGAGCACCGTCCCACCCCTGGAACATCATGTAAAACATTTCTGCAGTTTTTCACTTTGCAGCAGTAAAACACACAACAGAACAGTTGCTACTTACCTTTCCTGGTTGCTTGTAGCCAAAATCCATGTGGCCATAGTTGGACACCGTTTTTGTCACAAGATTCCAATGAACAAATTCCACCCATGCATTAGTCCAACAAACTTACTGTCATGTAGAAACATAAGCCTGTTTGTTATTTCAATCACTGGCCTGAACCAATGCTAATGCTAACCAGGCAGACGCCATATTATCATGTTTGGTAGGCCTTACATATATATATAGAAACACGCACAATTTACATGCATGTATCACTCACATTGGTCAGTGAGCACATCAGTCAATGCAATCAGCCAACCAACTTAGCGAGGGACACCCTACCTGTCTCAGTGATTGAAAAGTCTTGCAGCCAGTGAAATTAGGAATTCATAGACATCTGACAAAGGCCGGTAGGATATACATATCTGGGTTTCCTACCTTGTTAAAGGACCTTTCAAAGATTCATCGTCATTCATTTGAAGACTTCAGGGTAGTGTGTAAATAGTTGGTCAGTTTCATTGTTTTTGTTTAAAAACATTTTTAATGAGTATTTTACTCTGTTATATTACTTTGTACAAAAATATCAGGTAACAAAAGGTATCTGCTGGCAAAAAATAAAATAAAATGGAGGACAGCTTGGGCAAACCATCACAAACAACAATGTAGAAAGTTCATATTTAATGCCATCATTAACTACTCTGACACTCCAAAGTATTTATCACTCACTGTCTAATAATACAGGCCTTATATGCCTTTTTGATATGATTTTTTTCTTAAATCACATACTCATTTTGATTTTTTGATTGTAAAATTTGCAGAGTTAGCTTTCAAATGAGACCAGCGTTATAAGTGTAATCAAAAGGGCTGAGGAACAGTAACATTTTGTCAATCGATTTTGTGGAAAATAATAGGAGCGCATGTGAAAGGGGTTAAATTGATTTTTAGCTTTAAAAAAGCACACTCTTTATTGTTTATATCCAGCGCATTACCAAAGTAATTTCATCTATGCATGTACTGTAACACATTTTTTCCTTTTGCTGTGTTTGCTCCTCACAGGGATCTGCCTGCAGCTGCTGAAGATGTGGAAGCTACAGTAATAAAAGACCACAAGATAATACAAATTCTACCATGTGGTTCTGTGAAGATGAATTAAATAAATACATTGCTGATGTTCTGCATGCACTATCAACTTAAGGTTACCTGAAGGTGAGCTGGTTGCACTGCTGCATGGCCTAACTCCTGTCTGGCAGTAACTCAAAAATGAAAGATTTACTGAGGGAATTGTTTGGCTAAGGGTCTTAACAAATCCATATATTTTACCAAGTTGGAACCACATGCAAAATTAATCCCTACCATCCTATAGCAACTACCCAATTTCTCCGTTTGCTCCACACAAATGACTGCTTATCCTGTCAGAAACCTCAAAGCCCATCACCTCCTACACCAGAGGAGGTAGTCACTCTACACACATGAACAGTGACGAGTCGTACAAAAAACCTTTTTTAATATTTAACTGTATATGCCATAATCATTCAGAAATCAATCTGAGCAGAGTGGAGAGGAAGCTGAGTGTTTAAAGAGTCCTTTGGCTGCAGCTCCTCTCACACATCACCATGACAGACAAACATGTATTAGAAATGCTTACAGAAGTTTGTGTGTGTCTGTGTGGTGTGTGTAGAAATGCCTTACAGTATAGTTAGTGTTTTGCAATGTGTGTATGTTGTGTATTTGCATGTGTGTTGGAGAAACGCTAAGATAACGGACACCTGCTGGCATCTTAAGGAGGTCAGTGGTACGAGAGCGAGGCAGACTGGAAGTCATTCATAGTGTTTAGCTTCATGCTGAGGAAGAGCACTAACATTTCAACAAACTCATGTGAAACTGCATCCGCCTGGTGTGGCACACATAAATATAAAAATAGAATAAGAAAAAACTCAAATCAGTTTTAAATAAAGTGTGTGTGAAGATGGGTGTGTATTGTTGACAGTCAACATGTGCAGGAAGACAGGAAGTAGTGAAGAAGGCGTGTTCACAGGATCCAGTCCCATCCAGTAATGTCCATGTGCTGTCCTAAGAGGTCTGGGCATAAATATTCATCTGTCTCTCTGTGTCTTCCTGTGTTT